TGTATATTAGACTGCATCACACTGCATACAAAAACAAATCGGTACAGTTTTTCCACCGGAATTATAAAATCTATTATATTTTAAGACTTCCACCAAATATTTCGGAAAAATATTAAGATTTACGTGAGCTGGACCAATTTGAAAGTACCTTCAAAAACTGAGTTTTTTGTGAATAAAAACAGTTTTTTAAGTATTTTTGCAAAAAATCACCTTAGGTGACAAAAAAGTTTAAGCTTAAGATATTTGCATAAAAATATTTCCTAAAAGTTTTCAACGGAATTGCAGTAATGAGATTTTTGATGCTGTTTTTGCACTTTTTTTCAAATACAGGTTAAAAAAACTTGAATAACTCAGCCTAAACTTTTTACCGATTTAGACTTATGAGGTACTATTAGAAAGGAATTTTCTCACCCTTTTCATTTCTTTGCAAATAAGCTCAATCAAAGCATGAAAGAGAAAGGTAAGACAAACGAGCCTCATTCCATGTTGAATTAAGATGTGTTGGTATTTGATAAAGAATAAATTGGGACGTGAGTGAGTTTTTTTTGCAAAGAAATCAAAAGGGTGAGAAAATACCTTTCTACTGATGCATCACAAGTCTAATCAGTATAGCTTTGACCCATTTATTAAAGTTTTTCTTAAACAAATCTTTGAAAAAAGTTAAAAAACAGCATCAAAAATCTCATTATGATTCCGTTACAAATTTTTTTGGGTATTTTTATGCAGATTTTTAAAGCTCAAACTGTTTTGTCATCTGAGAAGATTTTTTCCAAAAAATCCCTTAAGAAACAATTTTTATTCATAAAAAACTCCATTTTTGGAGGTATTTTGAAACCGGCCCAGCTCACGTAAATCTTAATATTTTTCCGAAATATTTGGTTGAAGTCTTAAAATATAATAGATTTGGTAATACCGCCGGAAAAACCGCAACTTTATTTGATGATGCAGTCTAATGTACAGTAGTCGAAAAAATTTTAGCCGCACCAAATTTTCAAAAGTTTTGAAATATTATTTTTGTTATTTAATTTGGTTAGTTTTTTATAGTTCATTCTTTAACAACATCCGTATAAATACAAGTTTAAAGGCAGTATCACACGATTGGGTATTTGCCAAAATTTGGTGCAAATCGTATCCCTATTGTGTGAATACCCAAATATTTTTCTTCACCCCAATCACGAAAATTAATTTGTTTAAATTTTTCAATAGAACATCGCTGTTTTGTACCAATCTTTTGACTACAAAAAACATTTTCCAATTTTTTTATTTTGCACCAATAGCACAATATACGAATGTACTAATCTGTACAAATGTACCAATCGAGTGCAACTGCCTTAAAAATTTACGCAATTAAAAAAAAAAATCAACAAATTTTGGTAAAAATTTCGAGTTTTTTAATTAGATTCTGAGAATGCAAATTTGTAGCCCATTGAATTCTAGTAGAATAAAGAACAAGTTTCAAATGGCTAAAAGCTACGATTGATTTTTAGAATTTTTAAAAAAGCTCGAAATTTGTACGAAAGTTTGCTGATTTTTTTTTAATATTGCACAAATTTTGAAACTTGGATTTACACGGCTTTTGTTAAAGAACACCTCCCCCCACACATATTTTTTCAAATTTTTTGGCCAATTTTATGCGCGATTTTTATTCAACTAAAAGGATAAATATGTAACTTATGTTCATGTAAGTCAAGCCGGGTTTCATACGTTCAAATGTAAGTTGAATGGTTCGAATTGTTCTGAAAATCAGTTTACAACATTTTTCTAACTTTTCAAAAAGGTTGAATTATTTTTCTTCATTTCCTGTAACCCTGTACATTGTGTATACATTTCCCATTAATATAAGGAAACATGCAATTAGGAACTTGCCAAACCTTGGAACCTCCTCACAAAATAAAATGTCATTTTGCTCTCTCAATTTCCCCTACTTTACAAGTTTCTTGGTTACATTAACACCAAAACGTGATAATTGCTAGCAATTGTTTCAAACTATTTACTACACGAACGCCCTTATACGTTTTTAGGATGATGGCTAAAAAGTTCAGCGATGTGTGGCTCAACTTTTCGGAAGAAAAGGATCAAAAAGTAAAATGTCTAATCTGTGCGCAGCAACTTTCGGTTGCAAATAAATCAACAAGTAGTCTTATAAGGCATATGAAGAGGAGGCATCCAACCCAAACAATTTCAAGGCAGCAAGCTGTTGACCCAGCTGAAGCTAATAATGATACGTCATTAACTTCAAGTTTGCCTTCCACGCGAAACTCTGACAATTTGTCAACCATAAAAATAAAAAATTTTTTCACTAAACCACTTCCCTTAAAGAAGAAAGAGGAGATCGATAGGCGGCAGATCTTGACAATGATTGTCAAAGAATACCATCCATTCACTATAGTAGAGGAAAAGGAATTTAAAACACTGGTTCATCTACTAAATGCCAACTACATGTTGCCGACAAGGAAAACAGTTTCTTCAACTTTATTAACAAATGCTTATAGTTCAGCAGTGGCTGTCGTAAAAGAACGCTTGACGAGAGCATTTGCTGTTTGCTTGACAGTTGATGGATGGACGTCGCGAGCCCAGGATAACTATTTTAGTATAACCGCACATTACATTGTTGAGGGAGATAATTCAACATTTCTCGCATCAGATTTGCTAACTTGTGCATCGTACACAGAGCGACATACGGCTGTCAACCTAACGAAAATGCTGCAAGATGTGTTGAAGGAGTGCCAAATTGATAATAAAGTTGCGGTCATTGTTACAGACAACGCGGCCAACATGAAGGCATGGGAGTGTTTTGCCCATACACTCAATTTGGTGGCGCAATCGGGATTGAAAGAAGTAGGAGTTGTTTTAAAAAAGGTAAAACAAATTGTTAGGCTTTTTACTAAAAGTAATTATGCAAATGAGGAACTTAAACGAGCGTTGGAAGGGGCATCCCTGCAGATGCCGATTTTGAAAATAATAAATGACGTTCCAACTCGATGGAATTCTACATACGATATGCTTAAACGCCTTTTACTTTCAAAAACTCCATTGATCTCATCGTTAGCTCTGATAAAATCTTCTGCGCGGGTCAATTATTTTGTATGTAAAGCAGCTAACGAAGCATTTAAATTCATTGCAGAGCTGTGAATTAATTCCAATAGTGCACAAATTGGTCAACAATATACTAGGTAGGCTTAGTGCCAGGTTCATCGACTTAGAAAACAACATTTTTATAGCGCAGGCAACAGTGTTAGACCCACGCTTTAAAAAATTTGGCTTCATAAACGAATCCAAGTATAAATCTGCTGTAGAAATGCTCTACAATAAAGTAGCAAATATAAGAATTTACACTGACGAAGATGTCGTAGATGAACCAAGTGAGGCAACAGGTAGTGCGGGTAATGTCGTAAATGAAAACTTAGAAAAAGTTTGGGAAGACTTTGATGCTGAGGTTCAGCAATATTTACGACCTAACAACCAGGTGGCATCTGCAATAGTTGAATTAGACAAATATTTGGCATGTATACCCCAGATTATATCAAATTGTAAAAACAAGATTGTGCGTTTCAGCTACATCTGTTCCATGTGAAAGAATTTTTTCACATGCGGGTCAGATAATAACTCAAAAACGAGAAAAAATAAAATCGGCTAAATTAGCTAAAATGTTTTTTTTTGAACTATAATATGGACAATAACGATTTCTAAGACTGATACTGATATACTCGATGTACCTTAAAAGAGATTTTAGTATAACTAAAAAAAAATGTATTTACTTGTTTTCTAAATGCTTTATGCAAAAATATTTTTTTGTTATATTTTCACATTAAATATCTTATTAATTATAGAATAAGTGATATATATTAAATATATATAAATATATGCACATAAACAGATCGCACGTTTAATAATATACAGAAATATTTCAAAATTTCAATTTTGTGGGAAAACACAATCAAAGTTTGATCAACTCATACAGTTGGTATACAAAAAGACAGCTGAAAAGACCCATATCTTTGCGATGTTTGGGAAGTTTAGCCATTTGTTGGGCTGAACAAGTTCTACATATCAAGCTTATTCATTGTATGATGAAATCTCCAAACCCGTAAATTTTAAGTTACATCTCTATATTATTAAACGTGCGATGTATCGAAAACAATTCAAAATTTTGAATTTTGAAATTATGCGCTAAAAATGTACACAGAGCTTTTATTTACCTTAATGTTTAATGTATGCGCTGTAAGGCCAAAAGATATGTGTTTGTATGTGTAAGCTATAGCTAGCATAGATTTAAAAGCTGCTAAGTCTACTTTTTATGAAAACTTACATTTGGATACAGTAAGGCTAAGTATTAGTAGACGTTTCCAAAGAGACCGAATTAATTTTAAATTTCTACATTTTTCCATGCAAAAAAAAAAAAAAATTGCTTAGGTAAAGGCACAAAAATTCGATATTTAAAAGAAAACAACTTGTTGGAAGTAATATTTTGTTTTGAAGACGCAAAACTTTTGTTATCAAAGTTTTGCAAAATATTTGAAGAAAATAAGTTTGAGAAGTTTTGTTTTTCTCCGGAAAATTTAAAAAACAACTTTTCTACTCTCAGTGTCACAACTCAAATATTACAAATATTGAGTTAAGTACACAGAAATAACCGATTCTTCTTCTACTTTGGGCCTGTGCCAATTGATAGAAAAGTTCTATGGTGGAAAAACTTTTTACTATGGTGAGAAAATTTTACATTTCTGCTGTGCCAATTCGTAACTTTTTACTGCTGAAAATTTTTGACATTTGCTTTGATGCACAAGAAGACTATCGAGTTTGCAATTTATAAAATGCAGCAATTATATAGAAAATATTTGACTTTGATGATTTCAATTCTGCTGGAACTGAAATCCATGCATTTATTAGACCTTTTAGCAGTAATATTAGAAATAAAAACACGTCAAAACCGTCTGGTAAGTGTGTTCACAAAAATGTTTAAAACCGTGTGCAATTGTTTCCAATAAAAACATATGTCGTTTATGTACATGCAACAAGACGTTTATTCCAAAATACTAAGCAGCATTATGAACGGCGATAACAAGACTACAAAAATGCATCTTAGGTTGTCCTCTGCTTCGTTTCGAAAAATTGTAACTAACATTCCCAAAAAGCGCCACGGATGGTTCATCAACGCATTCCATTGTGCTTCAGCACTTTTACCGTCCAGGCGATCCTTCAGCTCATTCGCGATTTTTCTAAGAAAAAACTTCTTAACAAAGTCTTCAAAATATTTATATTGTTCTTACTCACTGAACCAAACATCCTTGTCAATGCGCTTTTCCAGAAGGATTCTGCGTTCTGAACTGCTCCCTGTAAAATAGTATTTTTAATTAAAAAAATACATAACGCCTTTTCATATGTAAATCTGAAATTAAATCTTACAAGTTATATAGCTTTTCTTTATTTTTTTTGCCGGCGGGACCATGTTCTTTTATTTCCGCTCGCTTTTGTTTTCTTTAATTTATGTGTATACGTGCGTTGTTCGTTCTTCTTCTTGATAATGCTTGCTGTCAAATTTTTCACTAGCCCTGCCGTATCAAACATTTTTATTCACCTCATAGCTGTCAAAAATTTACTATCCAGAGAACTTTTCTATCAATTGGCACAGGCCCATATACAACCTTAAATAGGTGCAAACTATGTATCTACATTTACATACATAAGTATGTAGTGATAATAATACAGTACAAAAAAGTAGTTGAATACAATTTTATACTAAGTTTTCTAATAAAATATCTGATGCAAAAACACGTGTATACTTATAATTTGAAAAAAATGTGGTTGTGGGTGAGGGTTGTTTAATTACAGTTAAGTTATTATCGAAAATATCAAAAATTTATAGTTCCCCAGCTCAAGATTATTATATGAAATCAAATACGTAAATAAATTCGTGAGAATGGGCTAACAAAACATGAGACATGTTCATAAAATCGTGCTAAATCAATAAGACCCATTATCTTTTAGTGATTTTTTTTTAATTTCTTGCACGCTCAATTGTTGCATGCATGAAATCTGCTTCCAAATGCCCAGACTCCCTCGATTGTCACAATATACGTGCAATTAACAACAAAGAGCATGGCCGCTGCAAAAATGTATTTCGGTTCTATAATTAATATACAAGGCCGAGTAAGCAATTTTATTTACAATCTGATTTAGTGGCATTTACAACTTATATGCACAAGCAACTTATATTTAAAAGGATTTCAAATTTGTTGGAGTACTTAACACATTTGAATAAGCAGTACATTAGCTTATGGCGCTTTAGCATAGTCTCCAGTTTTGGAAATAAGACAAAAGTCGACTTAGGACCGGTTACTCAATGTCTGGTTAACGCTAATCCTCGGTTAAACATAGTTATCGACGTTACCGACTCCCTGTTGTATGCATGGAGTCGTAGACGTCGATAACGATGTTTAACCGCAGATTAGTGTTAACCAGACATTGAGTAACCGGCCCTAAGGGCCGTTTTCACCAACTCTGATTAACACCAATCGCCAGTTAAACATCGTTGCCGACCTTACTGACTCCATACATATTACATTGAGTCGGTAACGTCGGCAACGATGTTTAACTGGCGATTAGGGTTTACCAGAGTTGGTGAAAACGGCCCTAAGTGATCAGAAAAATTCAGTAGACAAGCTGTAAAGACAAGCATGTTAATAATAAAGAACATGTTAAACTATATAGGTAGTTTTATACCGCGATAATGTTGTCTTGGCCAGATGGTTCCCTTTTTGTTTACACAGTAGACACTGCCCCTTGTTTTGTATACCCGCAAAGGTTCTTCCGGTAACATGCACATACATATGTACGTCTCCAGCGTTTGTGGTTACATTAAATAAAGATGCCACGAATTTCGCTATCACGTAACCCTGCCAAAAGCCTTTAAATATGTACACATTGAAGCTGAGGAAACTACATTTGGCCACCAATCTTCCAGCAATACTAGGCACACTGATTGCTTTTTGCTTTTGATTGCAAATATGTGTTTCTTTGCGGGTACTTTACCTGTATTATAGAAATATATCCAGTATGTATATTTTGACAAAGTACACAAAATAATTAAAGAAAATAATCCTCAATTACCTCAAAATTTCACCAAACTCTGCCAATTATCGTTTTGTTTGGCAGCTTACTTTGACACATATGTACATATTTCTCATGTTTATGTTTTTTGGCAATTTTTTTGACATTTCAGCAATGTGGATTGGAAGCAGTGTTGCCGCGAATCGTTTTTAGTGGTAGCCAAATCCCTTTAAAAAGGGCTAAAAAAGAGCTAAAAAAGTCGTTGTGGCTAAAAATGGTAGCTAAATTTTTTTACTTACATATACATATATAAGTATACACGTAAACATTTTCAATAAGTAAAAGCGAAGGTACACAACATGCGTTCGCCGGCAAATGCGTCACGCCGTCAATGTCAAATAAAATTGAACACGTGCGTTTGTATGACAGCTGTTACAGACGACGCCGTTACGAATGCGTTAACGCAGTTGCCGTCGTACGTAAACCAACTCGCTACTTTTCTGTTGCGTTCATGCGTTGACATTTGAAATTACATTTGTGGGTTTACAAAACAATGAACGGCACAACGCAAGGTGTGTAACAGCAAATTTTTCAACGTCGTCAACGCATCAACGGATCAACGCAACGCCGCAGCAAATAAAATGATGTACCTTCAGCTTAATGGTATACCTAAAACCTTTTTGTATAAAATAGGAATTATACGACACCTGCTTGCTGGCTCCATCAAGTGATTGTTATATCAGGCTCGAAGCATATAACTTACCAGCATGCTGGTACAATATTTATTTCTTTATTAATGAAGTCCACTAAAGATCGAAATGATTACAGCCGAAATTTCATAATTTTTCTACCATTTTGTTAAACATTGTTTTTTTTTTTAATTCACAACGGCAATATCGTGAACTTAATCTTCCACAAACACGGCTTTGACTCATTTAGTGAAGAAATTTCCGCCACAATACTTTTTACTTAGAAAATTGAGCTAATTGCACCACTCACGACACCAGCATGCTGGTACAATCATAAAATTTTCAAATAATTTTTGAAGTCGCACCAGCAGCTGGTACAGTCACACCACAAGAATATACACGGTCAATCGACTTGATGGGCCATTTAACAATAACTTAACTAAACTTATCTATTTTAAACTATAGTTAAAGCGTTAATAAATAAGTTAACAGCCCTAACACTTTTACAGTATGTATGTATAAAAACGTAAGGAACATACAATATATATATGTAAATATCAGTCTTCCTTAGTTTAAAAATTCATCTCTTACATAAATGAAAAAAAAAATTAGATCAAATTAAGCATGTACAACTTTTTCATGCCAAGTATGAATAAATTCTCCAAAGGGCTAAAAAAAGGGCTAGGGGCAATTTTAAATTTATGTGGCCAAAAAAAAGTATGTGGTAGCTAAATCTAGCCACCAAAGGGCTGAAACGGCAACACTGATTGGAAGTGTGTGGGTGAGAGAGCTGAAAACTTGCGATTGTGGGTGTTAAGGTTAGCGCCAAGGCGAACTCATTTAGCGCCGTCTTGAAGGGCATTTTTTGCGAATTTGCCTTGGTCTCGTGTGTTTCGTGGTGTTAATGGCGCTAACGCTGTTCATATTTTGGTGTTGGCGTTCAACTCCGACAACGGCGTTAACGCAATTGCGCCGCTCAGCGCAGAGTTACCCATGTCTACCACGATTGAGAGAATACAAAGGTTGCGCCGATCTCGGACCGCTATTCCTCTCTTAACGAATTTGACAGAATCGTTGTTTGCATGACGTCACACTGGTGCAACTTGTTTACGTTTTCCTTGCAACATTTTTTCTTCTTCTTCCATTCTTGCTCACGTTTTGGCATTTCTCTCTCGCAATTGCACCAGTGTGACGTCACACAAAAGTTATTCTCAAAAATCCTCTCTGATCGGCGCAATCTTGTATTCTATCATTCTTGCATGTCTACCAGACAGGCAGTTGTTGATTGTACTCTGAAGGGATATTATTTGCTCACTATCCTCAGAATGGATTCGGGGCATATTCTATAAAATATTTATTTTGTTGTCTACTAAATGACGTCGATTCTCATATCCTGAGCTTAAGGCTTCCCACGCTAGGCTGGAATTAACGTCACAAAGAGGGTATTGCTTAACTATTTCGCCTGCCTTACCCCGAGTTTTATACCGAAGGTAATACAATTTTTGTGCTAGAGATAACTGTGGGTGGTTTATGTAAATGGCTGTGAACATATCACGGAAGGAGAGCCATTCAACATAGCCACCATAAAACACATCGGTGTCACAGGGTGGAAGCTCTAGAAAGTTTTCGGTATAAGCAGCCACATTGGGATTGAGTTGGGGTATCGCGCTAGATGGATTACCTTCTGAAATGACCTTCAATTGGTGGCCTATTTTAGCCTTTTTGTTTTCATAAGTATCATAGCAGATACGATACTTGCCTTTCGCCGACTCCAAAAAGTTTTCGGAAAGGTCTTTCAATCTTAAGAATAGGGCATCGCATGAAAATTTAAATCGATTCCAAGAGTTGTTGAGAGATTTATTTTTACTGTGGAGAGCTGATTCTGTGCATTCTTCTAAAGGAATAGAGACGAATGTCGTACATAAACTCATTAGAATATCACACTCTGCATCAAATATTTGTGTGCATGAGTCATGGGAAGGAGATTTGCTTTTAATTTTTACCGGGGTATATTTGGGTGGAGATTCTGCAATTTTATTAATATTAGATATATATTAGTTTGTTTTTTTAAAAAGATTTTTTTTTATATATATATTTGTGTGCAAATATGCGTTTATATAAATGTATGTTTGTGTAAACGAGCGTACGGGGGCTTTCTGAATGCTTAAACCAATATGCGAACCTAGTAAATTAGCTGCTGGGTAATATAATATCCAACGCATAGAATATTTGCAATTATGTACGTATGTACATATATACTCGTTTAACGTACATAAGATGAAAGCAAGTATGCGACTTTGGATGATTGGAGTACTTCGAAGCTTCACCGGGTAAAAACAAAATTAATAGTGAGAGAGTAAAATATGAGTGATGGGTGATCTAAATGTGTTCATATGTAAAATTTTACATGCATGTGCATATGTGTGTATGTGCAAGTGAATGTTCGCATGATCAGCTGAGATTCAAGAATGATAGAATACAAGATTGCGCCGATTGCAGCAGAATTCGTGAGAGTAATTTTAGCGTGACGTCATCGTAGAGTTGACAACTGAGAGCGGCGAGAATGAGGGCGACTAGTGATGTGCTGAATTGTCCCCAATACTCGGTACCCAATACCTACAAAAGATTTCGGTACCCAATACTTCCTTTTCGGTATCCGATACCGATTATTTACATTAAACCCTCGCCATTATATGCATTTCAGGTTTAGAAAAAACTTTCATTACTAATTTATATGATATCGGCTAAAACACTTGAACTTATCGCCACAGAAAAATATTATTTTATCAGTTTTAACCTTAGTCGATCCAAGGTTCAAGAAAAATACTTTGACGGATGAAGAAGCCTTTCAGGGGAGAGATTCTGTAGCCAGTTAGCGACAAGTTTCGGATCGATATCGCACTTGTTGACTTACAAATATTTGATA